CTGGGGCCTGAACTCTGGGCCTGGGCGCTGTCCCTCAGCTCTTCAGCTCAAGGCTAGTGCTCTACCACTTGAGCCACAGCGCCACTTCCGGCTTTCAATCTCTATCTCTTGAGTAGCTAGGATTACAAGTGTGAGCCACTGAACCCAGCTTCTTTTCACTTTTGCAATGCTGGAAACAGACTCGGGGCTCCACACAGGCTAGACAAGTATTCTACTACTGAGCAACATTCCCAGCCCAAGAGCTGTATTCTCTCCAGCACCTCCCACCAGTCTGGCCAGACCTCACCTGCGGTTCCTTCTCATGGGCCCAGTTCTGCAGCCGCAGCTCAAGCAGTGTGTCATAGATACCCTGGGGTGAGTCTGGCTGCACTTCACTCATGTGCTCCAGGAAGGCTTTCAGCTCTCGGGGGTTGTTTGCAAAGATGGGGATGAACTCCTCAGAGTTGGCCTAGTATGAAGGAGGAGAAGGGAGGCTAGTGAGTGCATTTGGTACCCAAAGGCCCCTAAGGTAATCCTTGCTACCCAAAGTGATTCTGCCGAGGCCTCACTTGGCAGCTTGGAGCCTCTCTATCGCCTCGACCTTCCAGACTGGGCCGATAGTCAGTACAAAGTCCCTTTAGCAACTGTGTTGTCTGCTCTGGTATGTGGTGCATGAGGGTCTTCCCATAACGCTTCATGTTGCTCTCTGCCTGCTCAAAAGGCAGCTTGCCGATGTACCGAAGGGCTTCTTGGTAATTCTGTGGGGAGAGGTAAAGGACAGACTAGCACCCACTCCTGGAAGCACTTCTACCACTGTGGAAACATCCTCAAAAAGCACAGGGCAGGGGCTGGGAAGGTGGCTCAGTGGTAGAGCGCTTGCCTTGCATGCCTGAAGCCCTGGGTCCAATTCCTCAGCACCATATAAGCAAAAAGAAAAAAGCCGGAAGTGGCGCTGTGGCTCAAGTGGTAGAGCGCTAGCCTTGAACTAAAGAGCTGAGGGACAGCGCCCAGGTCCAGAGTTCAGGCCCCATGACCGGACCCAAAAAAAAAAAGAAAAAAAGCCGGAAGTGGCACTGTGGCTCAAGTGGTAGAGCGCTAGCCTTGAGCTGAAGAGCTAAGGGACAGCTCCCAGGCCGAGTTCAGGCCCCATGACCAGACCCCCCCCCCCAAAAAAAAAAGGATCCAAAGGCAGGAGAAGGTAAATGCCAGGCTAGTCCACGAAATCAGAGTCAAAGGTGTTCAGAGAACTGGCTCCCTCCCACTGG